CCCGGCCTGCAGTCAATCGGGTCATTATGAGCTCAATTGTGGTCTTCAAAAAATAGTGTGCCAGGGCCCTGGGGACGCCAGGAGGTGGCAAGTAGCTTTGAGGGGACAGCGAGGGGAACGCACGGGGCATATGGAGGATGGGTTTAGCCCTGCTCTCCCCTGGAGGGCGGGGGTAGCTCTGTTCTGCCCGCCTTCCCGATTTGCTCAGGAGGGGACATCCGTCCCCTCCAGGAGCTGCTCGCAAAGATCCGCCTGGTGTCCAGTGTCCTCCTCTGGGTCAGGGCGAGGATTGACGGGATGGACTAAGCCTGCTAGGCCCTGGGCCTGGTGGTCTGGCTGGCACGGTGAGGGCATGGGGCAGGCAGGAGGCTGCTTCTGCTCTCTCTGAGCCTGGCACCCAGCAGGGTCAGGGAGGGCTTGACCTTGAACAACCTATAGGAAAGGCATAGAGGTGCATAGTCCCCGAGGGGCCCGGTGCCTCAGTTTGCCCATGTAGCAGCGGTTTCTGAAGGCTGTGCTGCTCCGGAGATTGTGGATTCATCCAGAATATGCCTGGAGGGAGCAGCTGGGCAGGCCCGGCTGGGTCGGCCCCAAGGAGGAAGCCCAGAGTGATGCCTGGGCCCATCCTGGGAGCCCTGGGCTTTCCCTGCTCAACCCCCGCCGCCTGAGTCCTGCTCACCATTTGGTGACGTGAGGGCAATGGCCGTTTGTCCTATTTGCTCTCAGAGCCGGGGCGTGGAGCGGGTGAGAACTGTAAGCCCCACTTTGTAAATGGGGACACAGGCTCAGAGAGGGTGTGTGACTGGCCTGGAGCCACACAGCAGATATGGCTTCAGGTCCAGCGCCCTCCTGCCTGTTCCACCCTCCGTGTCCTGCTTTGCTGAAACCTTGGGCCCTACGGGGCTAACGGTTCTTGCCTTGACCTTCCAGGCCCAGGAACGGACTGGCCAGGAAACAGCGGGCCCTGCCTCAGGGGCTTTGCGCTAGGCGGGGATGGGTGGGGTCAGGCCCCGGGGTCTTGAGGTCATCTCACAGATCTGGGGAGCCACCAGTGGTAGCTGAGCTGGGCCCACAGGTTTGAGGGGCTTGTCACCCACCTGTTCTCACCCTGAAGGAGGATTGTAGGCAGTGCCCCTGGGGCTCGCGGGATGGCCCCAGGAGTGACCTCGGGAGGGGCCTGCCCCCCCATCCGGGTCTGCAGAATAGCGCGGTGATGCCCCCACCCCCGTGGGGCCGCGTGGGAATGACACGAGGTGTGTGCGTGCAGAACACGGGTGCCACAAAGCCCCCCCGATCCAAGACCCAATGTCACCCTCTGGGATTCTCCCCAAACTACCCCTCGCCTGCCCCCCCCCCACCCCCCATCGCCTCCCCTCGCCTTCATGGCGAGACAGGGTTTGGCCCATTAGAACCAAATAAAAAAGGAATTAGCGGGAGTGGCCGCCCCATGAGTAACCGATGAGTAACCGAGAGTCTGCGCGGGGCCTAAAGCAGGTGACGCCAGGAGCTGGCACAAAGGACGGAAGGGAGACTTTCGAGAAATGTCCTCCAGGTGCACGGGCCCGGCCTCCATGCCTGCTTGGGGACTTCAGGACAGCAGGACGTGTCGCATTCTGGGTAGGGGAGGGCCGGGTGGCAGGTTCCGGGGCCTCGGCGGGGAGCGCCCACGCCATCCTGGCTCGGGCAGGGCCTGGCTGTGGGACTTGGGACTCCATCCGCAGGCCTCTTGGTGCGACTGAACAGTCCTTTCACCCCACCTCCTGGGCGCCTCGCTCTCGACGTGCCCTCTGCGAGGCCAGCTCCCGCCCCGCGTTCACCTGCCGGCCACTCGCTGAGTCCCAAGGGCCACGGAGGGTCCAAACGCCTCGCTCCGGGGGCTGCGTGTGCCTCTTCCGCCCGAAGTCCCTCAGCGGCAAAGAGACCAGGCTGAGCCCCAGGCCCCACATCCCTCCCTCTGCCCCTCGGGGCTTTGATGCAACTGCCTGCGTTCAGACCCTGCTCCGGCCACTAAGCCCTAGTTCAACAGCCTCTCTGTGCCTCGGTCTGCTCACCCGTGGGATGGGCCCGTGACGAGCCTGCCTCGCACGACTGTCTGGGAGCTCAGGGAGGACATGCGTGGGGGTGAGGGTGTTTGGCATGCGGCGGGAGCTGGCGGGTGACAGCGGGGATGAAGGAAGCATGCCTCCGCTGACCCGCTTTGCTGAACGGTTCCTGTAGCCGGAGCAGGCTCTGAGGCCCAAATCCACAGCAGCGGCCCCGGAACCAGGGCAGAGAGCACCATCCACTTCGTGGGGTGTCTCTGGCCGCCCTCACCTGGCTCCCCCGAGCCTCGACGGCCTCTTTTCTCCTTACTCTTGAGCTCACACTTCTAGCGTCAGATCAGCAAACGATTTCTTCTTCTTTTTTTAAGTTTTTATTTGTTTATTTGGAGAGAGAGAGAGAGCAGGAGAGGGGCAGAGAGAGAGAGGGAGAGAGAGAATCCCAAACAGGTTCCATCCCAGCGGCACTCGGGGCTCCAACTCACAAACCATGAGATCACGACCTGAGCCGAAGCTGGATGCTTAACCGACTGAGCCGCCCTGGTTTCCCCTCCCCCCCCTTTTTTTAATGTTTATTTATCTATTTTTGGTAGGGGAGGGGCAGAAGGAGAGAGAGAGAATTCTAGGCAGGCTGCATGCTCAGATTGGAGCCTGACAGGAGGCTTGGTCTCGCGATTGAGAGATCATGTTCTGAGCCGAAATCAAGAGTCGGACCTCAACTGACCGAGTCACCCAGGCGCCCTCAGCAAACTGTTTTGCACCTTGGACCTTTGCTCCTGCTGTGCCCACCGCCAGGAGCGCACACACCCACGTGCACTCATCCACTCATATCCACACACAACACACACCTTACTTAAGGTGTCCCCTCCTCCAGGAAGCCTTCCTTGACTCCACCCCTCACAGAGGCAGGTGGGGACGTCCTCTGAGGTTCCGTGACCCCCCCCCCCCGTGCCCTTTCTTACAAAGCTCTACGGTCACCTCCCCTCCCGGAGCCCCCGAAATGCTTTCGCGCACCCTCCCCCGCGGCGTGCGCCTGTGTGCCCGTGCGCGTGACCTCGTCGGCAGGCCTGCTGGGCTTGGGCAACACCAGCACCAATAGCAGGGAGTTTGGTAACCACTTCGCACCCGACACCCTTCCCTTCGGGTAGCCTCGGCCTGATTTAGAGCTGGGGAGGGAGAGCCCCATATTCTCCCTTGACCCTGCGTCTGCCTGGGAGCCCCCAGCCGGCCCGCCTCGACGCTGCAGGGCTGGGGGCTCCTCGGTGCCCCTCAAAGGGCAACTGTGCTGACAGATGCTTCCCACAGGAGTGGTGCTGGGGACAGTGCCCTATGCCGCTGGTTGGCAGGTCCCAGGTGGTGGCAGGTGTGGTGGGGGGAGCGGTGTGGGCAGGAAGGGCCCGGAGAGGAGCAGGGGCTGGACGGGAAGGCAGAGGCGGCCCTGTGTCCTTTGCAGACCTCGGTCTTGCCCAACGCCACCCTCCCTTAGCTCTTCTCAGAGGACGGACGTTTTCAGGAAGCTGTGCCTCCTCCTTGGTGGCAGAGGTCGACCAAAGCTTCCTCGGCACTGGGTCTCTAAGACCAACAGGTCCTCAGCCCAGATGGGAGGACCCCCAGGGAACAGGAAGCCCACCGAGGCGAGCTTCCCCCCAGCAGGCTGTAGGTGAGGAGGGGACCCCAGAACACACATTCAAGGCCGATCACACAGCTGGCATGCAGGGTGGTGCTTAGTGGTTGTTCACGGAAAGGACTTGACCTTCGACCCTCTGGGGCCATCACTCTAGCCCCCACTCGCAGGGACAGCGGTCAGGCACTCTGAGGGGCCTTTCCGATCACAGGCACAGGCTCTGTGCAACTACAGGGGCGTCACCGAGCTCCAGGCCCACAGTGCCAGCTGCTGAGGACCTCACAGACCGGGCCGTGGCCTGCAGAGAGCCTCGGGGCTCAGGGGCAGGAGAGGCCGGGCCAGGATGGCGGGATGCCCGGGGCCCAGCCGGAGCCTGTGGAAAAGAAAGATGAATTGGCTCTGGACCCTTCCATCCAGGGGGCTGTGGGCCCCCGTGGAGCCAGGACGGCTCAGCTACCCGGCTGACTGGGTAGACGGCTTCAGGTGCAGTGAGAGTCAGATCCGTGACTGGGGGCGGTAGGTAGCCCAGGCCCCCTTCTGGCTGGCAGTCTGGAAAGGCTACCTGGAAGAAGAGGCATTGGAACCGGTCTTGGACAATCATGAGGCTTTGGACAAGGAGGGCAAGGCCGTTCCCCTGGAAAGACCAGGAAACCCCCGGAGCACAGGAGCAGCTCTTTCCGGAAGGAAAGAGACGTTGTTTTGGGCAGGGGACGAAAAAAGGGGGATGGGGAAGCCAGCTGGGCTCGGACTGAGGGCCTTTCCTGCTCGGGCAGAGGAGACCCAGTGAGGGTGCAGGGTAGAGGTGCACTGTGGGCCCCCTCGCTGGTGGCTGGGGGTGGGGGAGGCAAGGAGGACGGGCACCCAAAGTCTGGGCGGTTCAGGGGGGCGTCTGGGCCAGGCAGGGGTGCTGAGAGAGAGGAGAGCCCCAGGCAGCCGGGGCCTGGGGATGGGGGGACAGGGGGTGGTCAAAGCCACGGAGGCGGCAGCAAAGAGCCTGGAATAGGGTGGGGGGGCGGGTGCTGGGAGGCTGGCCGAGTGGAAGGGGCGGGGCACAGTCCCCAGTGCCCCCCTCGCAGAGCCCGCCCCTGCTCTCGCCCAGGGTTGGGGCCCTTGGGACCGGGAAAGGAGGTGACAGTGGTCTCGAGTGCGGGTGGCAGGGCCGCGGCCACGCGCCTGCCACTGTCCTCACCACAGCCCTGCTGGAGGGGTTCGGCCCGCCCCCCTTTGCTGAGCCCGGAACTCAGAGAGGGCGAGCGCAGAGGCCAGGGCGGCCGGAGACGCGCGCGCGCGGGGCCTCACCGCACGCACCCCATCCCCCCATCCCCCCACCCCCGCAGGGAGCCGGGAGGCCGCCTTCACCTACGCCATCACCGCGGCCGGGGTGGCCCACGCGGTCACGGCCGCCTGCAGCCAGGGGAACCTGAGCAACTGCGGGTGCGACCGAGAGAAGCAGGGCTACTACAACCAGGCGGAGGGCTGGAAGTGGGGCGGCTGCTCCGCCGACGTGCGCTACGGCATCGACTTCTCCCGGCGCTTCGTGGACGCCCGTGAGATCAAGAAAAACGCGCGGCGTCTCATGAACCTGCACAACAACGAGGCCGGCAGGAAGGTAGGGCGGGGGCATCCGGGGAGGGGCGGGCGGGGTGGCTGCCGCCTCACCAGGGCTCCCCGCCCCCACCCCCGGCCCTGAGCCTCTCCTGGGGTGGGGTGGAGGGGGTCCTTGGGGATCTGGACCCCAAAGGTGTGTGGTGGGTGGCGCTGGGCCTGGTCGGCCCCTCTGACCCTCCCAGAGGCCTTACTGTTCCCATTTCGGAGGTAGGAAGACTGAGGCTGGGAGTCAGGAAGTGATGTGCGCGTGGCCAGCAGCTGGGGGGTGGCAGGGCCGGGACCAGGGCCCAGCGTGGGGGCCACAGTCCCATGTCCCCGCCCGGGTCCCAGAGGGGTCGTACCAGCACACCAGGAACGCTTCCCGGAGGAGGTGGCCTTTGGCTCAGGTTGCCCTGAGAGAGCAGCCTGAGGAAGGGTGGAGACTGCAAGTTGGGAGGTCTTGAGGAGCAGCCAGCTTCACACAGGGGGCGGGTGCAGCAGTGTGGGGCAATCACGGAGGACGTTCAGGCAGGGCCACACTGGGGCAGAAGTCAGGGTGAGCCCGGCCCCGCCTCAGGGAGATGAGGGCCCCAGATACTGGGCCGGGAGGAGCGGCCACCATGGCGGCAAGATGGCCCGAGATAGAGCGCCAGCCGAGCGGAACGCCTCTCCAGGTCTGGTTCCCCGGCCCCAGGGGCTGCACCCGGGGCACCAGGGCCTGCGGGTCTCTGCAGGCACGGGGACAGACTTGCCCGCCCTCTGCCGTGGGGACCACAGCTAAGGCCACCAGCTGCTCGCTCACTCACTCGACGAACGTTCCCTGCCCCTTCTTTGTGCCTGGCATTAGCTAGGCTGGGCACGGGAGACAAGGAGTAAGAGTGGCCGTGGTCACGGGAGCCCCCGTGGTGCCAAGTGGGTCCACTCAGGGGTGCAGAGGACAGATCCAGGAGCAGTGAGAGCTTGGAGACGGGGCGGGGGCAGGGCGGGAGCAGAAGCTCTCCGGAGGAGGTGCTGTCCCAGCAGGCCAGAAAAGAGCACAGGCAGAGGGAGGTGGCACTGGGAGCAGGGGCCGGCCGCCCGGAGCAGGCCTTGAATGCCAGGCCCAGGGACTGACTTGATCTTGTAGACGTGGTTATTAGCTTGGCGTCCAATGAGTGCACGGGTGGACGAATGAAGGAAAGAGGGACACAGTCTTTGCCTCCAAGGAGCTCACACACGGCGCGGAGGCTCCATTCTTCAGGCACGGACACATCCCCCCCTGTGCCATGGCAGGCAGAGGCAGGCAAGGTTCGTTTACCTGGAGGCATGGGGAGGGCTCCCTGGAGGAGGAGGTTCCTCTTAGGTCCCGAGGAAGGGCTTTCCAACAGCCCTGGGAGGAAGGTCTCACCACCCCCCTTTTCTGCACGAGGACAGTGAGGCCCCAGGTGGGCAACAGAGATACCGGGGTCCCCGGAGGCCTGGGCCCTGGTTAGTGCTTGGTGGAGAAGCATCCGAATAAGCAGCAGAGATGCAGGGAAGGGCACTCCGGGCACAGGGACCAGCACAGCCAAGGCCGGGACGTGGGGGTGGGATTCCGGTCACAGCTTCGGGGCAGTAAGGCCTCTGGGCCAGCTTAGGGTGGCGGCGTGTGGGACGGGCCCCTTGTGCAGGGCCACGAGGGCCAGGCCGGATTCTGGCCTCTGGGCGACAGGTGCCGTGGGACAGGTCCCTGAGACAGTGATCCCAGCAGCCTGAGGGCCAGGGGACCTGGGTGGAGGCAGGTCAGCGCTTGGGGTCTTGAACCGTGAAGCCGTAAACTGAGATGAGGGGTAGGAGGGGAGGGCCCATCAGGGCAGGGCGGTCACAGGAAAGGGCTCCACAGGGCTCAGCTGCCAGGATTCTGGTGCTGGCCAGTGCTGCCCCTGACTGCGTGTGAGTCTTCCTCGGAGCCTCGGTCTGCTCGTCTGCGCCGCGGACGCAGCGAACCTTGTGCCCCTCCCCCACTGCCCTTCCAACAGCCCCCGACCCTGAGCTGGGGAGCACACGTGTGGTCTGAGCCTTTGGCAAAGGCCGTGACCTTGGGGGGCGGGGATCCTCCTGCTCCCGCTAGCACGGAGCTTGGGGGTGGCAGTGAGGGGGAGCTGTAGCTTTTGAGGGTTCCACGACTGGGTCTGGATCTTCACAGGTTCCCCCCCCCCAGTGCTGGGGTGCCCTGGTCCCCACCCTAGTTTGTCCAGGCCACCCCGCCCCCTCCCACTTGCTCAGGGCCCCAGAGGTCAGCAAGGCGGGTGGGAAACAAGCTGACTGGTACCACACGAAGTCCCATGGCCTGGGTGGCTCAGAGCGACAGAGATTTTTTCTCCTAGTTCTAGAGCCGGAAGTCCTAAATCCAGGTGCCAGCAGGGCCACCGTTCCCCGTGATGGCTCCGGAGTAGGACCCTGCCTGCCTCTCCCTGCGGCCCCAGGCGCTCCTCGGCTTGTGGCCTCATTATCCTGGCTGCCCCCCTCTGCACATGGTCCCCAACCTCTGGGTCTGTTTTTTCCCTCCTGTCCCTTACAAGGACATGTGTCCTCGGAGTTAGGGCCCACCCTGGTCCAGGATGGCCTCATCTCGAGCCTTAATTACACCTGGAAAGACCTATTTTCCAAATAAGGAAATAGGTCACATCCTGAGGTTCTGAGTGGACGTAAATTTCGGGGAGACACTATTCAGTTCACCACATCCTCAGTGGGCCAGTCCTGGGCACTGTTATCAGGATGGCTTTGGACTCCTCTCGTGGGTGACGGAGGTCTGAAGTCAGTGATGGCACCGGGAGCTGGGGCAGGACCCCCGTCAGCTGGGCACAGCCCCTACCCGACCTCATCTAGGTCGTGCCCCAGGGGGCACGTCCTTCCCATCCTCTGGGTGAAAACCCAGGTCCAGGGAGGGGTGACTTCTGCGAAGTCCCCAGCTGGGAAGCTGCCGGCCACGCCAGGCCCCCAGGCTGGCCGGACCGTGTGGCCACCCCTCTCCTTCACGGCCCGGGCACTGAGCAGACAGCTTCACCTGACGCCTACGCCCAGGTCAGAGGGCGAAGCAGATGTGGGCCTCGTCCCCCGGGGCCTCGCAGGCCCATGGAGGGTCAGGCCACCAGGGAGGGCCCAGAAACAAATGTGTCACGTCCCTCTGTGGCCCCAGGCTCAGAGCCGCCTGCCCGCGGCTGTTGCCGGAGTGGAGTGTGCATCGCCTCCTCTAGGATGCCGGGACCCCCCCCCCAACCCCCCCGCCACACGGCCTGGGTCTGGGGAAACCGAGGCCCCGCTCGTCTGGGCGAGGCCAGGTCACCCCGCACCCTCCCAGGTGGTCTCCTGGGGCAGCAGGGCTGGCGCCACCATTGCTGTCACTCTTATCTTGAGGCCACTGGAGACGGAAACGGCACATTCTTGAATCCTGTGATCACTTCCCAGGGGAGGCTCAGGCCCCGGGGACCCAGCCAAGCGAGGATGCGAGGATGCGTCTCCTTGCTTTGCAAACCGCTGCCCAATCGGCTCCATCTGCCCACCGTCACCGGCCTGGCCGTGCAGGGTCCGAACGTGCCTGGGCCGGTGGGCAGGAGGGCAGGAGGGCAGGCGGTGGAGGCTGGGCTGCCTGGCCTTGAAGAGGATGGGGAGATGGGCGGGGGGGGGGGGGCGGGGGGGGGGAGGGGGCAGCCGTCCCGCAGGCTGCGGCAATGAGGCTGGTCCAGCTGGCCTGGATACCCCTGCCAGGTCTCAGGCCATCGTGGCCTCAGGAGGCATCTCCTGGGCCAGCAGCCCGGGGTAGGGGGCACTGCCCTCCAGGCTGCGGACTCTGAGAGAGGCATCCATCTGGCCACTCTTAGGCCGAGGGGCATACGTGGCAGGGCGGTGTGGCCAGGGCAAGAGAGGGGCAGGTTAGTGGGGGAGGATTGATGCAAAAATGAGCATGGGGTAAGGGTGAGGGAGGGGAAAGAGAGGTCTGGCCAGGATGAGCACAAGTGTGGAGAGAAGGGTAGGAGGCAGGCAGGAGGTCCAGACATGCGTTCCCTTGGTGGGGGGCAACCCGCCCTTCACCTAGACCCCCCAGAGCTGACTTCCGGTTCGTGCCCTCAACCCAGACACCCCTCGTCCCGCAATTCCAGTTCTGAATATTCCTTCCCCCGGGTGCTGGGGCCCTCCCCCACTCAGCCCTCCCCCGGTAGGACATCAGCCTCCCCCTCCCCCTAGCCCCCTCCTCCTCCCAGCCTCCCGGGCCTCCAGCCCCCAGACATCATCCACAGGAGGGAATCCCACCCACCCCCAGGTCCTAGACACCAGCCTCAGGGCCTACCCAGCACCCACGTGATACTCAACGTGGGCTGAGCTTTTCCTCTGCAGACCTTGCGCTGCCCCGTTCCGGGAAGACCTTCCCCTCTGCCTAAAGAGCTTCTGCTCCTGCATCCACACCCCATGCAGGCACCCCTCCTCCAGGAAGCCCTCTTACCACGGCAGGGGTAGGCTCTCAGAGCGCCCGTTTGTGTCGGCTTCCTCTTCCCTCCCACACCGGGCTGGGAGCCCCCAGGTCCTTGCCGAGGACCAGAGCCCCAGGTAGCCAGGGTGGGGGAAATGGGATGGTAGCTGGCCCTGTGGGATGTTTCTTTCATTCATTCATTCATTCATTCATTCGCTATGGGTCCCCTGGTCTGGGCCAGGGCTGGGGTTCCGGCCCAGGAAGCAGAGAGTGGCCAAGTTCCTTCAGGGCTGGGCTGCTGAAGTGAGGCCACCAGAGCCCGGACAGCTGACAAATGGCCCTTCTGCAACGGTGGGGCGGCAGCTAATGATTCCCCATCTTTAATCAGGCCGGCTGGCAGGGTCCTTTCGATCCAGGTAAATGAGTACCTGGGGTCAGGGCTGGCTCTGGGAACCGGCCTTCCGGGACCACGGAGGGAGGCCCAAGGAAAACACACCCTGCACCCGTTGTGGGCCCTCGGGGAGCTGGGGAGAAAGAACAACACCGGCCGGGGGCCGGCTTCCCAGCAGATGGCACGCCTGGGCCTCGCTGACCCGTGCACTCCCCTCCTGCTCATCCACCCCCTCCGCCCTTCAGCAAACACGCGCAGAGCTGGGTGCGAGCACCAGGCTTTCGTTGAACAGCCAGCCATTTATTAAGCACCAACTACGTGCCAGGCCCTACCCCGAGCATGAGGGCAGGGGGTGGAGAGATGGAAGGGTGGGGATCTGCAATTAATAAGCACCTACTGTTGCTGGGCCTGGATCACCGCCGGGCTGGGTGCGATACCAGCTTCGCCACATTGCTGCCCTGTGACCTGCACGCGGCAAGCCGCGCGGCTGAGCCTCGGCTTCCTCCTCCGCGCGTTGACCTGAAGGGTTGTGAGGATTTAGTGAACCACGTGTGATAAACATCCGCCGTGTTCTGCCACGTTCTGGACACTCTCACTGGACCCTCATAAGGTCCTCTGCAGTAGGGACCTACGGTCAGCAGCCCCATTAAACGGACGAGGAGACGGAGGCTCAGGAAGGAAGGGGAGGCACTTAGGTGTGGTCGGACAGCGGGAAGTGGGGGAGCCCTGGAGGACGGGGGCAAGTGGGAGCGGGGACGCCCAGGCCCTGCGGGTGAGCACACTGGGCCCCTCCGCCCGGGCGCCCGCAGGTCCGGGAGGGCTGGGGGCGGGGCTCCCGGCCACGCCCGCATCAAGCCCCGCCCAGTCGCCCGCAGGTGCCGCAGGGCTGGGGGCGGGGCTCCCGGCCACGCCCACGCTGAGCCCCGCCCTGTCGCCCGCAGGTCCTGGAGGAGCGCATGAAGCTGGAGTGCAAGTGCCACGGCGTGTCGGGCTCGTGCACCACCAAGACGTGCTGGACCACGCTGCCCAAGTTCCGCGAGGTGGGCCACCTGCTCAAGGAGAAGTACAACGCCGCGGTGCAGGTGGAGGTGGTGCGGGCCAGCCGCCTGCGGCAGCCCACCTTCCTGCGGATCAAGCAGCTGCGCAGCTACCAGAAGCCCATGGAGACGGACCTGGTGTACATCGAGAAGTCGCCCAACTACTGCGAGGAGGACGCGGCCACGGGCAGCGTGGGCACTCAGGGCCGCCTGTGCAACCGCACGTCGCCGGGCGCGGACGGCTGCGACACCATGTGCTGCGGCCGTGGCTACAACACCCACCAGTACACCAAGGTGTGGCAGTGCAACTGCAAGTTCCACTGGTGCTGCTTTGTCAAGTGCAACACCTGCAGCGAGCGCACCGAGGTCTTCACCTGCAAGTGAGCGCGCGCGCGCGCCCCCGCCGCCGGCACGCGCGCGCGCCCCCGCCCCCCCCTGCCCTGCTGGCTGCGGTGTGGGGGGCGGCGGGGAGTTCAGGGCGCGGGAGGGCTGCTCCCACCGGCGCCCCCTCGCTGCCCTCAGGGGCTCCTTCCCGCCTTTCTCGTCACTTCCGGTGGTCGAGCGATGCCCAGAGGGCAAGGCTGATGGCACCGGTGTCCCCGGTGGGGCGCCCAGCGAATTCTTGTTCTTTTCTCTGGGGAATTGAACCCCAAGGACACACGTCCTGGAAAGCGAAGTGACGACAAGACTCTGAGTGTCCCCCTCCCCCACCTTGTGGCACGGACATGGATGTGCCATGCCGGCTGACCATCCCCGCCCCCACCCCGCGGGACTTTTTCCCTGGCCGCATCAGCCACAGGGCTTCC